TGTGTAATGCCTGTCTAATGGTGAAATATCTTTAATTCATTTTAAATTCTGGATAATTACACACTACTGTAATAGTTCTTGATAGTCTTAGAGAATTCTCATACATTCATGTACATGTAGCAGACTAAAATCATTGCTAATAATAAACGAGTCTTGCCTTGAGGTTTTCTTATGAACAATTCCCAGATGTGATTTCCCTTGGTAAATACTGACATTGATCAGATATTATTGCACAACTCCATTTTAACCTTTCTGTGTAAGACATTACCATGGAGGAAACTGTCGTCTCTATTTTGGGCACTTAGTCCACATTCAATCTGATTACACTTTTTTGTAGACTCGTGTCATGTTCAGAGATAACTGAATTAGTAGCCAATCAATTCTGAAATAGATGATTTGTGGGTTTCAAGTGTGTATGAAATGTTGTTTGATTGCATCAATGTTGTGTACACTGTTAACGGTGTAAGTTTAAACAAACTTCTACAATACCACTGCACATTTCAATGTGTTTACGATACTAAAATAAGTTCAATACTCACGCAACACAGAAACCCTAGAATTGGTCTATTCGTCCTCAAATCCAGTCTTGGGAAAGTTACTTTACATGGGTAATTGGCCAGATTAGGTTTGAGGGGATGGAGTATGGAGTTAAAACAATGGCCTGACAGGTGGAGCTAAAAACATTCGGAGATTCTACCTACAGCAGATTTAAAAATAAATAAAATGAGCTTGGTCTAAAGTTGGAAATAAACTGTAACATAACATTTTGTTGGTGTACAAAAAAAAAAAAAAAAAAAACGTGTATCCCCCTAGTGTTGCCAAGGAAAGGACGCATCAAAGGCACTTGTCCATAAGAACACAACGCTTATAAAAGCAGTATTCAAGTCTATTTATGGAAATTTATTAGAATTGTTCCTTAAATTAATTAAAACTTAAATAAAACTGGGTCAATCAGAAATAATCGATATTCTGCCACAATTTGAGCCCTCAGTATTTTCTAAACCAATTTGAATACCCAAATAGATCCGAATGAGTTATTTTGAGTTTGTGTTTCTTCCTTCTCACTGCTAGCTATTTTAAACACCACGTATTGAGTATTATTGTAATAACTTTAACATTATATGAAAAAGAAATTTATTTGAATTTTAAGCTATTAAAAAAAATTGTTCATTGAATTGCTGAATCTTATTAATGTGTGGTTTTTTCTGCTAGTCTGACCCAGCCATAAAACTTGTATTCAATGGTCTACTATAACAAACTGCAATTCCAGACTTGTCTATTCTGTTGTGTTGTGACTGTGATGAAACAAATCAACATTCAGTCTCTGTAAATTTACAATAATGACAGATGTTTGCAGTGAGTTGCACTGCCAAACTAGCGATGAATGTTGGATTGTGTAGAAACATTCAATTAACCCTTTGAGCACTAAAATCCATTTTTGTCACTTTTCAAAAAATCCAACCTGCATGAATTTTGATCAAGTTGAAATATTTGGTCCAAACTTATCCGAAATTAAAGAAATTTCGGCAAGATGTTAATTTTTGGCGGAAAACATGTGGTGCTCAATGGGTTAAAAGCTGTCATGTTTTGATGCAGGTGATAGAGGGCGCTGTAGAATAGGAAGATTGTGGTTTAGATTACCAAGATCTGCTACCTACTTGCTCAGCAGTGAAAATATGTTCCTCTTGTTTGCTGCTTGGCTCTTGATATATTGATGGGTGACAAAGATTACCACGCCAAAATAAGTACTAAAATAAGGATGCATGCAGAAAAAATAAGTTTGCTGTGAAATGTGTTTACTTGTTGACAAGTGAAAAC